AATTGACAAAAAAATATATAGTAGTAGATATTGAGATAATGAAGGAGAAAAAAGAAAAATGAGGTTCTAGCATGTAAGAGAGGTCATCTCAAACACTCATGGTTTCTTCTTTACACAAGCATATCCTATGATAACAACAAATCCAACAATATTGAAAAAAAAATGTAATAACAAATCACATTTTTTAATGAATATAATTGTTACATACCTTTTAAAATATTTGAATTCTTCTTCAACTCTCACCTTCTTCATCCCTCACTAAAAGAATTTGTAGGATTTCATTTTGTTTATTATTGAAACTTTGAAAAACAAATTTCATTAAGAAATAAAAGAAAGTAAATGAAAGAGCAAATCAAGAGTTGGAGGTTAAACTTGGGTATGCAAAATTACAAAAAAACCTCAATTAATTATGAACCATACATTCTTCATATAAGGGTAGAAAAGTCTTTAATATATTCAACATTTAAAAAAATCAAAAAATTGAGAAAAAATATAGGAGAAGTTCTAAGCATTAGAAGGTGTCACCTCATTATGCTTGGTTTCTTCTTTAATATATATAGATTAAATTTGTTTCCGTTTTTATTAAATTATAACATCTCATTAAACACAACTGTTGGATTAAAAAAAATGAAAGCCTTAGATCGGTTAACAAATGATTTTTTTCTCTCTATCCTATATATATATATAGACAGTTTCAAATTAGAACGTTAACTATTTAAGAAAACAAGAAAAAATGTCGTTAATGTACAAAATCATATATGATTCACATACAAAATCATACATGATTCGTCGCCTGTTTCCATTTTTTGACATTAATGTAAAATCATATGTGATTTTGTTCATTAACGATCTTTTTCTTGTTTCCTTAAGTATTAGTGTTCTCGTTTGAACATTCTTATATATATATAGAAGGGTTCAAACGAGAACACATTCATTTTACGAGAACGTGAGAACACCTTTTTACTATAGACAATCACATGTGATACTATTATTCCATCACATGTGATGCTAAATCAGAGACGCGAGCGATTTTTTATGCGATCTTGGTTGCGAGCCAAGTCGTCCTTACACCCCTAAGCCCCCTCACAAGTATCATCACATGTGATAAAGTTGTTAATATGATACTATAATTCATTAAGACCATCAAATGTGATGCTAAATCATAGACGCAAACAACCGTTGGCGCGACCTAAGTCATAGAACACGTAGTCCACACATCACAGGTCCCCTAACGCGTATTATCACATGTGATAAGGGTGTTTTCGCATTCTCGTAAAATGAAGGTGTTCTCATTTGAACCTTCACATATGTGTGTGTATATATATATATATATATATATATATATACCTTTATTTATATAATTAGAAAAAACTTATTAAAAACCACCGAATTTTCTTATTTTGAATGATTAATTTTTTAAACTTTTTTCTAAATAAAAAAAACCCATTTAAATAAATAAATTATTAAATTTTTAGAAATTAGTTACCTATATTCTTTTAACTAAAAAAACTATATTTAACCGATTAGGAAGATTTTAAAGTAAAAATACTTAAATCAGTTGTTTTGTTATTAAACCCTACGTCATTCGAACCTATTGAACCCAATGTCATCACTCCTCCCCACCCCTCGTTGCCCCGCCCTTTATCGTTCTCTAT